CAGCTAGCGACATTTTTTTAGATCGTCTTGTTCAGTTACACATGTCTTGCAATCTCTCAAATGTAGCCAGTGCAGAAATCGACTACAATTTTGCAAAACATCTGGGAACTAGATTACTTTATTGAACTATGATTCTCCAAAGTTTCTTTGTTTGTTTTGTCATTTTTACAAGTATAGAGGTATCGGTGACGACCAATATTTTGATTTCAACTTAGGGAGTCGGTTACTAAATCAGACTTAGAAGAAGGGATTCCTGGTTCTTGCGGTTGTAACAGTCCCTAGTCAACTTCCTTTTGTATTTGGTGTATAGGAGGGAGCCCTGATTCTGTTATTATTTTATTCCACAAGTAATAGGCTTGTTGACCATGTCATCGGTCAGTGCAAATGGCACGATTCTAGAGGCACACGTTATTGGTCATTTCACACCACCAACAGATCGAACGGCATACACAACCGTGCGCCTCTAACAGCACAAGCACGTTCAGGTGGCTGACTAAACCGATGCACTTTCCCTCTCTCTAATGCTACTAACAGAAAGCGATCCTGCAATAATGTAGCACAGGCTAATTCGGGATCGAGAAGAACAATTTTGAATTTAAGAATCCCAATAAAATAAATTTCAATGCCAAAAACCGTTAGCATGATAACCGTTTTCATGATAACTTGACAAGATTCAACAAAGGTGTTCCATGTGTTGCATAAGCATAAGTAATCAGAGAACTTTTAATGAACCATCATTGAAATAAATACGTTAATCACAAATGAAAGGGAAAAGTGACCATTTTTAAATCGTGTCAAGTAGAAAAAATGAGGGACCACACGTAAATGTTTTCTGGAGCAGAATGCACTAAAAACAAGGCAAAATTAAGTCGACTAAAAATTTGAGTTGTTCTGGAAGAACTGAAGTGGATGTGTGATTTTAGCGTAAATAATTTTCCAGATTGCATTTCTAACATATCAACGTGTACCATAGAACCTTAGCGATTTCTTAAGAGGTATTAAAATCTAAAATTACATGGTATTTTAACCACACACTAATCTGATATGTGGGAGGATTAACCTCGGTTGTTTACTACTTCTGTCCTGAGTTACCAATTTTATCCCTGTTCCCTGTAAACACATCCTTATTGGATAAACCACATTTTACCTTGTTATTCAACAAAATGGACACTTCAATTCGTTTACCCAAGCATAACACAGACCCACAAAAACACAATCAGGCACTAATGAGAACCCAAACAGTGTCTGCTCTACAAATTACAAAAATTGAGGGGAGATGAAATAAGACGACTTGCTCAATCAAAATATGTGATTGCGTTGATACAGATTCGACTGTTGGTGCACAATAACTCTATGTGAGAGCGTTCACTAGGCGTGAATAAACGCCCGTGAGTTTGGTTATTTGACTTATGTTAACTATTCACGCGGTGACAATCTCGGCCCCGGCCTGGCTCGAGTTCAAAATCAAAACATCGTCGCAATGGTGATGCCTTTATTGAGCACATTTGGCGTTAGGTGAGCTGGCAACTGGCGACCATGCAGGATAAATCAGGTAGCGGGGTTATCTTGCACCTTGAGCCCAGTTTGCAGGCGGTGACCCACTATGAACACTGTTCAATGGGATCCATCGAGATGACTAAAGCGACGCTCCAATCGTATGCACTACGCCTCTCACAGAAATGCCAGCTCCCAATCTGCCCTTCGGTCATTCAAATCCCGGTAAACCTCCTAATCCCCGCAATCTCGTTACGCTTAACTCGGGTCTCAACTCACTCTCGACTGCTCTCCAACAATGTTCGACTCTCAGCCGGACCAAATACTACGACACACATCAAGGCAGCGATTAGGCTTCACGTGTTACAACTTTTATAGTCAACATGTTAAGGGGCCTCCTGGGTTGCACAGACACCATCAACAAGGGCCCCAACTCCATCTCGACAACACGAGGGGTCTGACGTATTCACACATCGTTTCATCAAATGCGTTCTGCTCAGTGAAAACCCCTAAGGTGACGAAGATGCAACCAATTACCTGACATGGAAATTTTAACCCTTTAGGATGACTAGGATTCTTGTGTATGATGAATGTATGTGAACAATGGGAAGTCAGGGTAACGCAGAGATCTACTAGTGTAATGTATAAAATTAGTGATGAGAAGCATAAAAATTGCTTGACCAGGTGAAACGAATGAATTTTAGTGTAGGAAAAAGCACTCGCTTATTACAAATCGGTATATAACGTCACACGGACTACTGACGCATGTGCTCAAACCCCCTGCATAATTTTTCTTGTGCAGAACTTTTGGAAATAAAGTCATGGTGGGATTGTAACCAACAGGGTTAATCATTAGAAATAATTGACCATGTAGGTTGTCCAAACAAACCTTTCATTCAAGATCAAAAGACTCATGCAATAGTTACGAAACACTTGGCGAAACACTTGCTAAAGCCACACAAAAAGACGTTCCGTTATTCTTTAGAGAAAAGAAAACTTTAATATTTATCCGCACCTCTGATTGAATCAAACAATTCGAAATAGCTTACATAAATTACAACCACACGGTGGCAGTACAAATGAACACGATATTTTTACTACGGTCCTTGTACATGATAGTCCACCTTACGAACTAACAAACTGGCATTATTCACATCGTATCTGATCCCAGTTAAGGCGTACAATTACTTTAAAAATACGAAAGTGGTACTTTTGGAAAACCTTTTAAGAAAACTACTTCTGCAGGTTACGCATTTCTTAATAGAACCCCTTTTTGCCGCAAAATATAAATCAGCTGGAAGACATTTTGCACTTTGTGCTTCTAAGTTTAAAACAAATTGCTTGTTATAGGAACTTTTCCTTTGAAATCAAATTAGGATCGAATTTCCTGCACAAACTCAAGCCTGCTTAAATAACAGTTGCTTTAGGTTTGCTAAATTATATTAGCAGAAATTCATAAACATGGAACATTTCACATAAATGGAGTACGTTGACTTTGTGGGGATTCACTACAAGTTCTGATGGGAGAAGCAGTACAGTTGACAGCCTAATAGCAGTGTGCTGTCAGTTTCGCAGGGACAGATCATTAGTTGTCACTTTGGTGCAACCACTTACAACTAAATGGCTCCTCGATGTCGATATCGATACATTTGAAATGAATCATACCAAAAACTGACTAATTTTATGTACAATGCTATTTACTTCAGTGCAAAGATCTTCACAGACTATGTTATTCTAGTTGATGCATCAGTGTACCCAATTGCCAGCAAACCGTTGAGATTAGCTATGTGTAGCAGTTCCGCATCATGAGATGTTTCGTGCAGTAGACAAGGTGTGCATTTTCGATAGTCCTGCAGATTTAAAAGTATTACATATCCTTATGCACAATTCACAATTCTAAGTACTGATGGTGTATGAAGTGTATGGGAGTGCATCTGGCTAATTTTACGAGTTTAGCAGTTTCAGACACGGTAAAGAATGTATGTTGGAATCCGAAGTGTAAAATATTCTCATATATAAGGCCTTTAATAAAAAAAATTGCAATATTTATGCTCAGAGGTTACATTTTTCGATGTCATTTTGGTCAAAATGGATACCTAAAACAATTTCAAATTCCAAAAGTTTGTGATTGGTACAAATTTGGAATAAATTTGCAGACTTTTATAAATTTATAAACGTTTAATACTTGATAAATAGCCAAATTTAGCGGAATGATCAAGAGTGATTTCTAAGAAAATTTGTTTATGCATAACCTGTTTGGCACCATTAAGTCCTCTCGGATTTTAAAAAAAAATCCGCTTTTAAATCAGCAGTGATCTTCTGGACAATAATATTGTGATCAGTTAACTGAATGTGGTTTATCATGACTTTCAGTCACGACATGACGGTTTAGATATCAATATGTAGATAAAAACTAGGGTATAATTGAACACTACAATTGAAGGAAAAACGTTCGCTTTTGTGAATACACATCTGGACGTGTAATTAGTTTTTAATCGTTTCGGTAAAGTGTAACAAAGCTGATAACGGCAAACTAATGTCAGGCGATATCAGCACATAAATTTCGATAACCATACCTTCTAGAATTTATGAATTTGAGGTCATTACAGCAAATGCGATACGGCTTCATTAAGTATTTACCGTACAACATAGTCACGTTTACAAAATCAAAAAAAAATTCTTAAAATAACTTGCACGGCTTTGAACCCAAACTTGGTTGCTTCTGACAAGCACAAAATATTTTACTGAACAAAAATCACTCAATATGAAATAACTTTTATAGCTCTAGGGTATCGGGGGAAGCTTGGAGGAAACTCAACACGTTTTGTAAGAGTGGCGGTGGGACGGTCTAATAGCTTGAACCCTTTCTATACTCCGAACTACTCAGAACGCTTATTCTAATTAGCGGTATCCCTCTTGAATAAATGAGCAATAAAATAACTCAAAAGTGGTCAAAAGGCTTAAAAGGGGAGTTGACATGAAAATTAGTTGCAAAGATGTTCTAAAGACTACTTGAGAGGTGTTAAATGACAGACTGGTCGGTTGGAAGAATTCATATTGCTGGTAAAACCATGGTTAAACTATGAAAAGAATATGTACTTAAGCATACATGCCTGAAGCACGCATTCACGTGAGAAACAGCATGCAATAAAAAAGCCGAAGGGCAGCAACATTCTCCCCAGAAGAGTAGCATTTTGCGGTGAGGTATGGTGAGTTTACATACATGTGTTAATACACGTTAATTGTGTTAGCTTTGGAGACAAAATTTGGTTTACACTGCTATTCTACTAAGGTTCAATTTTGCGTCTTGGCATTGTTACCACTATATTGGAGGAAATGGATACAGAAATGGTAGTTTATTTACAAAATTGACATCGATTTAAACTTAAACATGAAATTTTCATCATCTTCAAATGAGGTATATAAAATTACACATGCAAATCATAATGAGCCGTCATTAGTGAAAGCAACGTTGGTTAAAGGAAAGGCATGAAAGTGAGAGGGGATTAGCACGGACTTACCTTAAACATGACAAACATGGTCTGTGCCACATTGAATGCGTGCCTCCAGTTGTGGTAGGTGACTGCACGGTAATTCTTTTTGACCGAGAGCAGCCAGCGGCAGAGGGAATTGTAGTCTATACGGAAGCGGCTGATGAAGCCCATGTCTGAGAACATTCGGATGCACGCCTTCAAGGTGTCGTCGACGGACAGACTGCAAAACGTTTCAAAGGTCGAGATTGGTCTTTATATGAAGATGCCTTGTTTCTGAACTAGGGCCTTCACAAGCACAATGCGAGTGTGCTTTAAGCACCTTTGGTGTGCAGGAGGTTTCTTTTGGATTAAAACTCAGTGGTAGAATTTTGAATGACACGTTACCAGGTGACCTCATTACCAAATGAACTGGTTTGGCAATACAATTAAATCTGGCGCCTAAATAGGAAGCACACTTTGACAGGTTAATTGTTATGCCAACAACACAGAAACAACACGCATTTGCATGTGGACAAACCTTGCAATCTGAAAACGACGGATTTGAATTTTGTGCTGATAAATGTATCACCAGTCACGTGATGAAGGCATACATCGTACATACATTATTATTTTAACACAATAAGATGGACTAAGCACTTTTACAGGTGCATGAAAACAAAGTAATTTTTTGACACTGATGAATGCATAAACGCCAATACTGCAAGGATTGGTGTCTGGTTACAATTTCTTGACTTTATATCATAATATATTTAAAGTAAGTCCGCTACATGCTAATTTTAGATGCACTTCTTGCGATTCGCCCTCGTTGGGGCCAAGGATTTTACTAGGGCTGCCATTGACTCGTCTATCGTGAACTCTAGGGATGGCATTTCCTGTTGATTAGGCGTCAGTAGCAAAAACATCGCAAGGATAGAAATTGAATAAACACCGGAGGAAATGCCTAATCCTGCTTGAATAATCGAATGAACGTGTATGAGCTGTAGAGGACTGGTAAAACACGCATCATTTCTCTAAAAAACAGATATTTTAAACGCATGCCGACGAAGTTGTTGGCTTAGCGCATAAAAGAAAGTAGGGTTTCGACAGATCAGTGCACCGACTTCCGGTAAGAATTTCAGTTGCAGATGATGTTTACTGGATGCGTAAAATACTCTAATTCAATGCATACGAAGGCAAATCAGTTAAGCATTACAGAACGAAAAGCAGATTTCACCCGACATTGCTTGAAGGAATAGGAAAGCAACCTGTGTACGTTATTTATGTGGGATTTCGCTTTTTTCGGTATCTGATGAAAAAATATGCAAGATTCCACAATGGCGAATAGGCAGTGTAATTTTTGACATACGAGGGCTTGATCTACGTGTGACAAACTAAACATCATTGCATTTGTCCAAATTGTGCTTAGTTTGGACACCAAGGGCGTGATTTATTTGCTTATAGGACGATGGAGAAATCATCACATGAGGTGATTTGTTTTACTGAAAGCCACACTAGATACGGGTAACTTCTTCAGCTTCTAGTAAAAGTGGCAAAATAACACCTTAAAGTGCTAAAACACAAAAGTTGCAAAAACTACATCCTGAAAATCAAGGAAAGGAGATGTTTCACGTTAAATCTTAATCCTGTCGTGTGCATTGTTCGATCTATACTACAGTAGAAAAACTAAATACTGGACAATAAGGGCACGTTTAGGACATCCGCGAAAACACGAGGGCAAAGAGAACCGGGAATACGCCAAAGTAGCCTATTGCAGCTCTTTTATGAAAACGCTGGCTGTTAAGGTGATTTCGTGCAGAACACATGTTACCATCGTTGTATAGGTCGCATCCACGATCCCAGCATCAACACTGAGACTGTGTCGAGTGCCCATTTGCAAGTATGCAAACTTGCATCGACAGTATAAAGCACTGAAGTAAACGTAAGTTGCCCCGACTAGACACACTCTAATTTACTCTCATGCATACAACCCTAGTTACTAAGTGCATTGGTGCTTATTTGGGCGTATTCAGCTTCCACCACATCCACTGGCCACACTCCTGCGCTTTGGGGCTTGCTCACCAGTCAGACATCCAAAGGGGCATTGACGGCAGCGGTTGGAAGCAAACGCACTAGACAAGCCCTCGTCATTATCCCAATCACACTTTGTGGCCGAGTAGGAAGCCGCAGTGCCATAAATGAGATTTGGCAAATGAGAGAAACGGCGAAGTGTACTGCATCTAACTACACTAAACTACAGAATCTCAGTCGCCTTCAAAGGCATCGAAAATGACCCTTGTGGCTTTAATCTGCAGTTTTAGGTTTGTAATGTTGCCGTAGTCATGCAAATTTCTGCTCAGTTTCTTCGTAGTTGTCATGTCAACTAATTTGTCCCGCAGTGTGTCAACTGTCGTTTAGGCAATGAGATTGTTGGATCTGCCTATCTTAAATAGCCTACGTCGCATTTATTCTTATTCTTAAATAACAATTATTTCTAGCGAAATGTTGATGTCCTTCTTAAAGTGGATATGGTGGTAATTAAAAAACACGGAGAAAGGAGTCACAGTTTTGTTGAAAAAGCATTAGGATTCTGAGCCTTAGCTGAATTTTGTCATCACATGTTTCTCTTGGAGTTTTTGGGTTCCTCATAAATTTGCTCAAAGTTGCTCCTATCTAAAAATGCACATTTTGGCCGTAGGTACGTTTTAGTTAGCACATTTGGGGATCTTTCCACACGCACAGAGTAACTGCCTGTTGTATGTATCTAGCGGCATGTTAGTCTGCACAAATATAAATAAAAAAGACTGAAATAATTACTTCCCTGTGTATATCTAAACAAACATGCACAGTGGTATATGTGCATGTTTGTGTTTTTGCCGGCCTATCAAACAACTGACGTGGACCTCCGACCTGGAGAATGTGACTGGGAGTGTGAGGTAGACATTCTCGCATTACCCACCTGATCGCCAGAAAATGCAGCTTAAATTATGCTTTTTACATCTGCAGAAAATCAACAAGCGAGAGTTCCTCTACTTCATCCAGCATACATGGGTGGTAGTTTAAGAGCGGTCCCGAAGAAACGTTTAAATTTCTCAATTGTCAGGTATTTTACAATCCTGAGGTAATTGCAAGACTAAGAAGGGAATCGAAAAATGTTAAACAGACACCTTATGTGTTTGAACGCTGGGGAAGTTACGAGTGCTACTTGTTTAGTTGCCACTGAAAACTTGCAGATTTAAGAAATCCAGCTTAGTTGCCCTTTGATGTCTAGACTAAAGCACAGTTAATTAGAGTACGAAAAGTTAAGCATGGCTTGAAAAAAGGGTATTTATAGCGTCTTGAAACCAGGCATTAGTATCTGTCAAATAATGAAAAAGCACAGCTGCTTTGTGTCCACAGCCTTTAAAAAGGTGAAAAATCAACCAGAATGGGATGCCATTTACCTCAATTTACGACACTAAATTGGGGCTATAGGATTTGAAAAGCCCTGCATAATGTTTAGGCAGCGCTTGAGGATTGTCGACGGTTTTGGGAATGGTGATGAGGGGGCTCGCCATAATGTCTAAAGTCAAATATACTTCATGGAACAGTAGTAATTAAATTTGGTCCTAGAGTTGCAGGCAAATTTCGGAAGACAGGTCCCTGAGAAAGGTGAAAATTTGGATTCTGAGACGCATAGTGAGGTTTAGATGTCTATACGACTGCAACTTTAAATCGGTACTCATGAGCAATCCAAACACGGCATAAATTGTAAACAAAACCTACGGGAGATCAGTGAAAGAGAATTGGTTTAGTCGATAGTACTTCGCCGATGGAATGAGCTCTTTGGCAAGGGCGCTAGCCTCTGCAGGGGTTGCAGTTGCATGATAAGAAAGAACATCAAAAGCGATGCGCTGTTTGGCCTCAGCCCGAAGAACTTGCTCGTACATCTGCGTGTTGGCTATCCCCAGTCCTGCAAACAACGCAAAAGCTTCAAAAAGCGATTCGTCGTTCTTCGAAAAAGCACCTGACCAACTGTCTTCAAACTCCAATGAGGACACAGGCAACGACTCCTGTGGAAGAGAACAGTGGCAGGATAGGGACGACTTATTAACAAGTTGACAGACGCCAAGTACGTGGCCATCAGAGTGCTTGATTGGCATGCATAGAATTGATCGACTTTTCCACACAGGATCCTTGCAGTCCACCTGGAAAAAAATCAATGAAAACTTGAGTGATTTGCACGAAAGCGTTAACCGAATTGCTAAAAAAGGCTTAGTTAAAATGCACTTAATCCTTACACTATACTACTTGCATAAGTGTTGATATTAAGGGACGTTAACACTGTTAGCAGCTACAAAAAATGGTAAGGTAACATTGGGACGATTTACGAACTCATTCGTGAATCCAATTTGATGAAGT